ATGTATTTTTAATTACAGTAAAAATTTCTGATTAATTTTCATACATACTTACATAGTCTTTTAATTTATACACTGAATTTATAATAAAAACACTTTTTCATTTTTACAAAATAAGAGTCAAGGTCCAAATCAAACATTTCCTCATTCAATTATGCACAGCATAAGACCTAGTTATTTCCTTAATATTACATCATAATTTTCCCACTTTTCACCAATAGCACCACAATAAAAACACGAAGGACTTTCTTTTCCGAATGGCATTACGCTACAAGGATAGTCGGAAAATAAACAGCCACTCATTTTCGCATTCTTTACCCTTGTTCCTAAGATAATTACAGTATAATAAATATATGGGATGGAGGTGATAACGGAGCAAAAGCATGTGGCCTCGGGATGGACTTGTTGTGCATCTCACTCGGGAGAACCTTGCATTTCCCTGATTAGTCTTACATTTGTGAGTTTTCCTAAATTACTGAATCACAGCATTATATTTACATTGGCATATGATTGATGAGATGTTGTACAAAATAAATAGGGTGCATGTGTGTGTGTGTGTGTGTGTGTGTGTGTGTGTGTGTGTGTGTGTGTGTGTGTGTGTGTGTGTGTGTGTGTGTGTGTGTGTGTGTGTGTGTGTGTGTGGGTGTGTGTGTGTGTGTGTCTGTGTGTGTGTGTGTGTGTGTGTGTGTGTCTGTGTGTGTGTGTGTATGTGTGTGTGTGTGTGTGTGTGTGTGTGTGTGTGTGTGTGTGTGTGTGTGTGTGTGTGTCTGTGTGTGTGTGTGTGTCTGTGTGTGTGTTGTGTGTGTGTGTGTGTGTGTGTGTGTGTCTGTGTGTGTGTGTGTGTGTGTGTGTGTGTGGTGTGTGTGTGTGTGTGTGTGTGTGTGTGTGTGTGTGTGTGTGTGTGTGTGTGTGTGTGTGTGTGTGTTGTGTGTGTGTTGTGTGTGTTGTGTGTGTGTGTGTGTGTGTGCCTGTATGAGTATTTGTACATATGATTAATGCCATCAAATCATTGAGATGACAGTGTCAGGAAATTCTTTTCCTCATTTTAGAATTTATGATTTACAAGGCTATTAGTATCATTTGTAAACATATAGTATGAAAGAAAATGTACATGCATGAGATGACACTGAATGACTTGTTAACCTTGTGTTGATGTACTACCAAAAATTTATGCAAATTTGTGATTTAACGATACAGTTCTGTTAAATCTAGGCATTTTACATAAAAGTATTCTAAGTATATGAATGATGGGTATGATTATGGGAAGTATCTAAGCTTTAATATCACCAATACTCACTTCAGCTTGATACAGTATAAAAACAAATGCAACATGAGAATGAATCTTAAAATGGTAATTAAATTAACAGCATTAGTGAAATTATGAAATGCAATGGAAACACTAAAATATATAGATATAATAAAAAAATGATTCCTTTCTTAGAACCTCTAACTAGCTTACTTATAATTTATATAGTTGTTCTATCATATTATCCTCCCATTTTACATACTGCAAAAAAATTATACAGTACATTGCAAAAAAAGAAAGAAAAAAAAACTTTTGCTCAATTAGGTTACTAATTCCCAAACTTCTATTAACTAAATCAGAACTAAGAACAACTTGCCTAGCTATCTCGTCATCCTGTCTTAATGTACAAACTGCTTCTTCTTTTAACAAATACTGGACAGTATTACCATTATCTAATATACTGCAATATTTACTAAGTATAGATGTGACTAAAGAATTTGCAAAGCATGAAAAAAATGATAGCTCTTGCCTGAGAAATGTGGATTAAATGAGTTCAAAGTTGATTAAGAACCACTGATAAGAAATAACCTGAATCAGTTCCTACCTATATACCATACAATCAAGACATATCCTTTTTAAATTATTTCCTTATTCATTTGAGCATTTCAATACTGCTAGAATAATAACTTGTAATTTCCATAGGTACTAAACTAATACCTCAATTGGTATGTTCTAAAGTAAAAGTTCCTGTTTTAGCTATACTTGTGCACACTTTCATGTCGTGATGAGGCACTTGGAAAAAAGACTGTTTAAGAAAAAAGTTTCATATAATGACATTCACAGATCTTCAATAGTTAAATGAAAAACATACCACATAGCCAATGACTGTAATAAATCTTTAACATTAATAATCCACTAATGCATGAGTAAACTAAAGGGGATATTTACTTTAACATTCTAATACTATTTCATAATAAGTACTTTGCACCATCTTCTAAAAGCTAAAGAAAAATTGCAACTGCCTATATTAATCATGATTTTCATAAACATTAAGCTTTTTCTACCTAAAATTTACTATCATTCCTATCACTTTTGAAATGTATAACATATATCTAATAAGCTATAATGTGACCTGTAATCTAAACCAATATATACACAACATATAAACATGCAGATTCTCAGTTTATGTATTAATAAGAAATTATCAATTTTGGACATCAAATCATCTCATAGGATTTAATCATCATAACCAGAAAAAATATTCAGCAGTAATGTGGCAAAGCAGATTTTTTTAAACTATAAAGTTACCGGCAGGTTTGTAGACTTCACATTAATAATTATTGCAGACAAATGACATTGATTCAGCAATAAATTAATTACCCTTTTTTCAGAATATATATTAAAAGATATTATTTACAAGTACTTATTAGACTTAAAATAAATATGAAGTATATGCAAAAAAGCATTGTTGTTTGTAACAAAATCACTTTTACATATCCCTATCTAGTAAAGCATTGCAAATATGTCAACTTTGATCTACTAATTTTGTAGCTCAGTTTTCTTCAACTTGATAATATCTTACATGTTAAAAGCCACTGTTTTATATATAAAAAAAATAATGTATGTTGTTTTGCAACTCCAGGAATCACTTCCCAACATTCCCAACTTTTATATATATATATCAATCATTACCCATCTTCACAGAAATGATTAAACTGCTCTTAACAGGGTATTGTTATGAGCTAAATATATCAGGCCTAGATTCCACCAATGATTTGTAATTACACAGTCATCTGCACTAACAGAGACATAGATTGGGGTTTAGATTACTTAGGAACTCTTCAGATAAGGTTGGGGTTGGTTAATCCTAGGCAGCACATACAGCAAATCTGCTTTGCCTCTAGCAGTATAGGACACACTACATATAAGGACAACTTTGATTTGTTTGGTGAAGAACAAGTTTGGCCTGAGCAAAAAAGTTAAGTGCTGGATTAAGAAATGATTTTGAGATATATAAAGTTTATATTAGGTTTAAGTGTGACTTAACCAGTTCTTTAGTAACACAAGGTTGTGCAGCTATTTATCAGTCTGACTGAACCAAGGAAATTCTTCAAAGGCTTAGCCAGCAACTATATATATACCTACACATAAGGCAGTTATCAATAAATTATATGTTCATATCAAAAGTTACTGCCATGAACATTCTCAAAATAATCTCTGTATATGAACAAAGAAGGATGAAAATTTGTTTTTTTGACAATATATCGTCAGTGTGAGTGATAAAAATGTGGTGACATTTTCTTGGATTCAGTATGTAATTAAGGTCAATCTCTATGCACTTGATCTTACAAGTGAAGGATACCTTGAATGTGAGAAACATTAATCATGACACTTAGTTAAATTCTTTCCAATTCATTCTCTCTACAAGTAATATTTTACTGGTTTGCCACAGAATTACAATATCAGAGAGAGAGAAATGGAGGGAGGGGTGAGTGCACACCAGAGAGATACTGGTTCATCACAGCCAAATGTGATTGATGAAGCATGTACATTTTATAAACCATGGTTAAGTACACTCCATGAAGTAAGCAAAAGCTGTTTTTCTATGTATAATATTGTAAGGCTTCTAATACTGCAAGCAGGAGCATGCTCTGAATGAAACTGTTTTGTCACTGGCTTAATTGACATGAGAGGTTTCAAGAGAAAAACTATGATGGTATAATGTCATAATTTAAGTGTATATCACAGAAATGTGAGCTCTTGGATTTCAGATATCAATATTGTATGAAGTCTTATTTTAGTCATCAAAAGCACTCAAAATGACATGCAATAAGTGGTAAGAAATTGCAATGCAAAACTCTTAATAAGTGAATTAGTGATGATACAGGTTAATACTTAAAATGTTTTGTATATGGCAAATAAAGTCTTATCATTTGCCAGTATGGATTACTGTCATACCCATTCTCCCAACTTATCTTTCGCTTCAGAATTCCCTGTCTCTTGTGACATCTCTAGTTCTGATTTTGGCTTTTCTTCTGCAATTGGTTCTAAGCTAACTGTGGACATATTTTCAAAAGGTTTTTCTGCAATGGGTTCTAAATGTCCTCCTGTCATCGACTCAAAATGCCTTTCTGGTACTTTCTCAGCAATGGATTCTAGGTGCCCTTCTGACACTTTCTCGGCAATAGGTTCTAAATGGCCCACTGTTACTGGCTCGTAGTGCCTTTCTGGTATAGTTTTTATTATATCATCAGCTATAGTATGCAAGTCTTCATCTGCAGCAGCTGGTTTATAAGCTCCATCTGGTTCTTGGAACATAAATATCCCACCTGGCTCTTCCACAGCAGGTTTATGAGGACTCATTTCCTCTGAAGACATTGCAAAGTCTCCACTAAAAGGATGAGACAGGCCTTGCTCCCCAGGTGGTTCATTACTGTGTATCTTACTAACAGGTGAGAATATTTGCTGAGGAGGAGACCTGACACTCTGTCCCGGAACATTTTTGATGATGAACCAAAGCAGCAAGGGCTTCTGGACTCTCTGCACTGCTGTACTGGGGATTTGTGAGCTGGGAAACCGGTTCACTTGCACTGACTGACCTGGAATCTTGGTTTTCGTATTTTGGGTATGTAAAACTTGCTGTATGGGGGTGTACCAGACACAGGGCTCTTGCTACCACTGTAAGGGAGACAAAAAAGCTTAAAAGAAGGAAAAGTTCAAGTAAAAATGATAATGGTACTAAACTTCAAAAGACAAAACATATCAAAGGAGACTGGAAACACACCTGAAGCTCCTCAAAGATGCAGTGCTGCCATTGTCAGCATGGATGGATGGGGTTGGGCTAAGTATCTTTGTCAGTGCTCCTTTGAAGTTCAGCCCCCTCCGTCTCTTTCGGGCCAGAGACGCTGGAAATAATTTTTTTAGTTTAGCTGCTAAAGTGATTATTATCTTTTATAAAAGTCTTGGGAGAAAAAATATTAAATACTGTAATACTATAGCTGCAAAATCACTTACCAAAAACATATAAACATATGAATAAAATTTTTCTTCACTTTGTTTTGTTTCCTAACATATTTTAAAATGTCAATGATTTCACAATGGTTATATAATGAAGTTCTATTTTCATATTTTCTCCCAAGAACTTATATAAAGATAATAATCACTTTAGCAGCCTAAACTAAAAATTATTTTCAGCGTCTCTGGCCCGAAAGAGACGGAGGGGCTGAACTTCAAAGGAGCACTGACAAAGATACTTAGCCCAACCCATCCATCCATGCTGACAATGGCAGCACTGCATCTTTGAGGAGCTTCAGGTGTGTTTCCAGTCTCCTTTGATATGTTTTTTTCTTTTGAAGTTTAGTACCATTATCATTTTTACTTGAACTTTTCCTTCTTTTAAGCTTTTTTGTCTCCCTTACAGTGGTAGCAAGAGCCCTGTGTCTGGTACACCCCCATACAGCAAGTTTACATACCCAAAATACGAAAACCAAGATTCCAGGTCAGTCAGTGCAAGTGAAACCGGTTCCCCAGCTCACAAATCCCCAGTACAGCAGTGCAGAGAGTCCAGAAGCCTTGCTGCTTGGTTCATCATCAAAATGTTCCGGGACAGAGTGTCAGGTCTCTCCTCAGCAAATATTCTCACCTGTTAGTAAGATACACAGTAATGAACCACCTGGGGAGCAAGGCCTGTCTCATCCTTTTAGTGGAGACTTTGCAATGTCTTCAGAGGAAATGAGTCCTCATAAACCTGCTGTGGAAGAGCCAGGTGGGATATTTATGTTCCAAGAACCAGATGGAGCTTATAAACCAGCTGCTGCAGATGAAGACTTGCATACTATAGCTGATGATATAATAAAAAACTATACCAGATAGGCACTACGAGCCAGTAACAGTGGGCCATTTAGAACCTATTGCCGAGAAAGTGTCAGAAGGGCACCTAGAATCCATTGCTGAGAAAAGTACCAGAAAGGCATTTTGAGTCGATGACAGGAGGACATTTAGAACCCATTGCAGAAAAACCTTTTGAAAATATGTCCACAGTTAGCTTAGAACCAATTGCAGAAGAAAAGCCAAAATCAGAACTAGAGATGTCACAAGAGACAGGGAATTCTGAAGCGAAAGATAAGTTGGGAGAATGGGTATGACAGTAATCCATACTGGCAAATGATAAGACTTTATTTGCCATATACAAACATTTTTAAGTATTAACCTGTATCATCACTAATTCACTTATTAAGAGTTTTGCATTGCAATTTCTTACACTTATTGCATGTCATTTTGAGTGCTTTTGATGACTAAAAATAAGACTTCATACAATATTGATATCTGAATCCAAGAGCTCACATTTCTGTGATATACACTTAAATTATGACATTATACCATCATAGTTTTTCTCTTGAAACCTCTCATGTCAATTAAGCCAGTGACAAAACAGTTTCATTCAGAGCATGCTCCTGCTTGCAGTATTAGAAGCCTTACAATATTATACATAGAAAAACAGCTTTTGCTTACTTCATGGAGTGTACTTAACCATGGTTTATAAAATGTACATGCTTCATCAATCACATTTGGCTGTGATGAACCAGTATCTCTCTGGTGTGCACTCACCCCTCCCTCCATTTCTCTCGCTCTGATATTGTAATTCTGTGGTAAACCAGTAAAATATTACTTGTAGAGAGAATGAATTGGAAATAATTTAACTAAGTGTCATGATTAATGTTTCTCACATTCAAGGTATCCTTCACTTGTAAGATCAAGTGCATAGAGATTGACCTTAATTACATACTGAATCCAAGAAAATGTCACCACATTTTTATCACTCACACTGACGATATATTGTAAAAAAAACAAATTTTTATCCTTCTTTGTTCATATACAGAGATTATTTTGAGAATGTTCATGGCAGTAACTTTTTGATATGAACATATAATTTATTGATAACTGCCTTATGTGTAGGTATATATATAGTTGCTGGCTAAGCCTTTGAAGAATTTCCTTGGTTCAGTCAGACTGATAAATAGCTGCACAACCTTGTGTTACTAAAGAACTGTTAAGTCACACTTAAACCTAATATAAACTTTATATATCTCAAAATCATTTCTTAATCCAGCACTTAACTTTTTTTGCTCAGGCCAAACTTGTTCTTCACCAAAACAAATCAAAGTTGTCCTTATATGTAGTGTGTCCTATACTGCTAGAGGCAAAGCAGATTTGCTGTATGTGCTGCCTAGGATTGACCAACCCCAACCTTATCTGAAGAGTTCCTAAATAATCTAAACCCCAATCTATGTCTCTGTTAGTGCAGATGACTGTGTAATTACAAATCATTGGGTGGAATCTAGGCCTGATATATTTAGCTCAAAACAGTACCCTGTTAAGAGCAGTTTAATCATTTCTGTGAAGATGGGTAATGATTGATATATATATATATATAAAAGTTGGGAATGTTGGGAAGTGATTCCTGGAGTTGCAAAACAACATACATTATTTTTTTTATATATAAAACAGTGGCTTTTAACATGTAAGATATTATCAAGTTGAAGAAAACTGAGCTACAAAATTAGTAGATCAAAGTTGACATATTTGCAATGCTTTACTAGATAGGGATATGTAAAAGTGATTTTGTTACAAAAACAATGCTTTTTTGCATATACTTCATATTTATTTTAAGTCTAATAAGTACTTGTAAATAATATCTTTTATAATATATTCTGAAAAAAGGGTAATTAATTTATTGCTGAATCAATGTCATTTGTCTGCAATAATTATTAATGTGAAGTCTACAAACCTGCCGGTAACTTTATAGTTAAAAAAATCTGCTTTGCCACATTACTGCTGAATATTTTTTTCTGGTTATGATGATTAAATCCTATGAGATGATTTGATGTCCAAAATTGATAATTTCTTATTAATACATAAACTGAGAATCTGCATGTTTATATGTTGTGTATATATTGGTTTAGATTACAGGTCACATTATAGCTTATTAGATATATGTTATACATTTCAAAAGTGATAGGAATGATAGTAATATTTTAGGTAGAAAAAGCTTAATGTTTATGAAAATCATGATTAATATAGGCAGTTGCAATTTTTCTTTAGCTTTTAGAAGATGGTGCAAAGTACTTATTATGAAATAGTATTAGAATGTTAAAGTAAATATCCCCTTTAGTTTACTCATGCATTAGTGGATTTATTAATGTTAAAGATTTATTTACAGTCATTGGCTATGTGGTATGTTTTTCATTTAACTATTGAAGATCTGTGAATGTCATTATATGAAACTTTTTTCTTAAACAGTCTTTTTTCCAAGTGCCTCATCACGACATGAAAGTGTGCACAAGTATAGCTAAAACAGGAACTTTTACTTTAGAACATACCAATTGAGTATTAGTTTAGTACCATGGAAATTACAAGTTATTATTCTAGCAGTATTGAAATGCTCAAATGAATAAGGAAATAATTTAAAAGGATATGTCTTGATTGTATGGTATATAGGTAGGAACTGATTCAGGTTATTTCTTATCAGTGTTCTTAATCAACTTTGAACTCATTTAATCCACATTTCTCAGGCAAGAGCTATCATTTTTTTCATGCTTTGCAAAATTCTTTAGTCACATCTATACTTAGTAAATATTGCAGTATATTAGATAATGGTAATACTGTCCAGTATTTGTTAAAAGAAGAAGCAGTTTGTACATTAAGACAGGATGACGAGATAGCTAGGCAAGTTGTTCTTAGTTCTGATTTAGTTAATAGAAGTTTGGGAATTAGTAACCTAATTGAGCAAAAGTTTTTTTTTTCTTTCTTTTTTTGCAATGTACTGTATAATTTTTTTGCAGTATGTAAAATGGGAGGATAATATGATAGAACAACTATATAAATTATAAGTAAGCTAGTTAGAGGTTCTAAGAAAGGAATCATTTTTTATTATATCTATATATTTTAGTGTTTCCATTGCATTTCATAATTTCACTAATGCTGTTAATTTAATTACCATTTTAAGATTCATTCTCAATGTTGCATTTGTTTTTATACTGTATCAAGCTGAAGTGAGTATTGGTGATATTAAAGCTTAGATACTTCCCATAATCATACCCATCATTCATATACTTAGAATACTTTTTATGTAAAATGCTAGATTTAACAGAACTGTATCGTTAAATCACAAATTTGCATAAATTTTGGTAGTACATCAACACAAGGTTAACAAGTCATTCAGTGTCATCTCATGCATGTACATTTTCTTTCATACTATATGTTTACAAATGATACTAATAGCCTTGTAAATCATAAATTCTAAAATGAGGAAAAGAATTTCCTGACACTGTCATCTCAATGATTTGATGGCATTAATCATATGTACAAATACTCATACAGGCACACACACACACACACACACACACACACACACACACACACACACACACACACACACACACACACAACACACACACACACACACACACACACACACACACACACACACACACACACACACACACACACACACACACACAACACCACACACACACACACACAGACACACACACCACACACAGACACACACACAGACACACACACACAGACACACACACAGACACACACACAGACACCACACACAGACACACACACACACACACACACACACAGACACACACACACACAGACACACACACAGACACACACACACACAGACACACACACACACACAGACACACACACACACAGACATACACACACACAGACACACACCACACACAGACACACACACACACAGACACACACACACACACACACCACACACACACACACACACACACACACACACACACACACACACACACACACACACACACACACACACACACACACACACACACACACACACACACACACACACACA